AAATCTTGTCTCGAAATGTATACGTTTGCTGCTTTGCTTGCATTTATGGCGGTTCTCGGCATTGCACACTCGAGCAAACCTTGTAGTGAGTATATCTTATCCATTTTTTACACCTTTGGTTCCTAGGATAATTAATTGAAATGTTTGGCTTGTAAATACGACGTTAGACTTATTCCTTATTCGGTGTTTTCGCTAGAGAAAACCACGACTTATGGAATTCGTGTAATACGAACATTTACGATTTATTTATAAGGCTTAGAGACGTAAAATTGATTCGGTCTTTTTGCAGAATCTCCAACGATGTGGGAAGGAGAAGAAAGCCTTGAGGTAAGATTTTACAAAGTTTGTGAGCGTCTAGGTTCGATTTTTTTTAGTATACAAAACTTACAGTGCGATGCCTGGTACAGCCAGCTAGAAAGCGAGGCTAGGAAATTTGTTTATTTCATTTATAGAGCATCCTTGACCTGGGGGAGAGAATCGTGTCAAAAGAAGTTTCATAGGGAGGGGTGAGGGCAACACAAAACACTAGTGCACAGTGTTCGGGATCACATAACTGGGGAACACAAACTAGTCAAACTAATCCCTGTGTCAAGGGAAAAGACCGAACTCAATTCGACCGACGAATATCCTTAAAAAAAAAAGAAGGTTGGCATATGATCTGATAACCTGATTCACATCGTTAGTTTAAATTAATTGTTCCAAGTAACAGCGGCTTCGATTTTTAAAGGGCGAATTCATATCGAATTCACACAATTATTTCAGATTGACACGAAAGCTCTTGGAGTATATTTCAAGGTATCTTACGATGCTGTCAACGAGAGGGTCCGTGCACTGGTGCAGCTCGATCCTGCCCAGCATGAATACATCATCCTTTACAACAAGGTATGTCACACATATAAGGTCAATAGATGAACAACTCTAAAAGTTTGTATGAGGATTTTAAACAGCGAGCTGCAACTTAGCGAGCTGTTTTAAACCCCATACAGATCTCACGCGAATATTGTATCAAGGGCTGATCCAGCCAAAATTTTAGGGAGGGGGGCTAATTGAGTTTCTTCCGTCAACACAGCGAAAAACAATAAAAAAGCATCTAATTCTTCAGGTTTTTTTGTTTGTTTGTTTTTTTCTGCTCAAGAGGGGGCTTCAGCCCCCCTTTGACCCCCCCCCCCTGGATCGGCCCTTGTATATACTACTTAAAGAATGTCTAGATTAATGCTTTTTTTAGAGTAAAATTTTTAACATTAAATGTAATTTGGCCGAGATATTTCAAGGTCAACCTTATGCAAATCAGGACGAATTCTGTATCAGGGTTTACAGGTGCCTTCATGGTAGCGATTTTGTATTGTTCTAAGGTCATTACTTATGCATGATGTTTTTAAGAATGATAAAAAGATATGGGGCAAACAATGGTTAAGTCCCATAACCTAATTGGCAGGAATATGAAAATTCGAAATTCACTCGCAAAGAAATGTGTTGGTATATATCATGTAGTTTTTAGAGTATGAAATGAGGAAATGTCTGGCAAATACTAGTTGGCATTGCTGTGCATCAGGTGGGGCTGTTTAGGAGACATCTTTCCAAGATGGTGTCTATTTCGTTCCATCAAACAGTCTCACATTAATTACAGCTCTAGTTCATCTATTTTCTCGTTTTTCTTTGTTCAACAGCATCGTCTCTACAGCATTGTACGCAGCACAGGAGAATGCAAAGTCTCCAAGTATGACAAGCCTTTCGTACCAGCCCAAGTCCCTGACAATGCGACCTTCGTAGGTGATGCGTACTTTGGACTTAAAAACACAGGTCTTTCTTACAAAACTTATTATGGGACGTTCGCCGCAGAGAGCAGCAAAGGTGAGTAATCGCTCCTACTCGTTATGCTTTTTTATTCAATATCAAAATGAAAAAATCATTTTATTTCACATTGGTAGGCGAATGGATGGAGGGATGGCACGTTGGTGGGTTGGTAGATTGGATAAGTGGGTGGGTGGGTGGGTTGATTTGGGAAGGTTGATTGGTTGATGCTTGTTAGGTTAGGTGGCTGGCTGGCTGGCTGGCTGGCTGGCTGGCTGGCTGGCTGGCTGGCTGGCTGGCTAAACGTTTTTATTCACAGGAGACTACGTCCTCTGCGTAACCGATGACGCTTGCATTCCCTTTTTTAGCAAAGTCACCGTTAAGGGGATGATAATTCGTGAAAGGTAACGTATCAATAAAACCTAACTTTTCACTGTTGTTCCATCCAACCTCCCTCCTTGTTCTACTTCCACCCAACAACTATAGCTTAAAGCTACTGTAACTAGTTGGACAATAACAGATCGACCCATTTGGTAAGAAATGGAATCAAACTGCCTTATGGCAAACCTCGTGGATACCCTCTTTTAAATCCTGCTTGCACTATTTAGACATTGGGTTACCTGTGTTCCGTCCCGCTGACAAGAGCGTTTGTTATGTTTATGTTATAAATGTACATCATATCTTGACCTTGATGTCGCGTCTGACAAACTATTTACTTGACTTACACTGTGAAATAAGTGTCGGGATATTCTATAAAACTTCGTTTAGTAATTAGCCTGCGTAGCTACGCGTATCCACGAGTTAAAAACATTACGTCCAATTTGTATTAAGAGTCTTCGATGAACAACTYGTAACTATAATCAATTTATTCTGAATATTGTTTGTGATTTTCTAGCTTCTATAATGTAGAGCTTGGAATAAAGGACCCTTCAGTGTTCACTCCTCCAAAGAGCTGCAAAGAAGGTCCAGTTCCCCAAATGTTTAAGGACCATCCTCGTTACTAGTGAACACCAAGGGCCTCGTTGCTATGGAGCTGTGATGGATTTCAACAAGGTTTTACAAGTCTTGATCCATGTTGACCTGTATTCGTTAGTTTGTTTTAGATAGAAATAGCGATTTCATATTTAAGTCCGTAGGCCATTATAAGGCTTAGAGTTTCTGTGTTTATAAGTTTCTCGTACGGATCTTTYAAAAAAAGTTAAATAAATGTTTTGCATCATTGTATGTGTTAACGAATCTTTGGCTTGATAAGGATACGTAGGATGAAGAAATAGAAAACGCGCGCGCGTGCTGTGGGCAGTCATAAAGCACGCAGGGGTTGGCAGAAAACTAGCGAACACAAAACGACAGCCCACACTCCTTTGTAAACTCCTTCCAAAGTCCTTCGAAATTAAGCCATTCCATGAATTCAATCTATCACTGAAAGGTCATGTATTGAAGTAAAAACAATGCTGGCAAAAATTCAAATCACATGAAAATAACTGAGTGGTAATTCATTTCATAAATCAAAAACTTCAAATAGCTAAGCTAGAGCCAACCATTGCAACATCATATTCTCACAGATATTGCACTAAGAAGATTAGAAAAGTGATATTTTTTTCTCAAAAGTCCTTAAAGTAAGCACGATAAATTTGACATGTTTTTTCACATTTTATATCAGGTCATGAACATCTTGCATTCGATCCAATTGGATGCATTTGGGGTCAGAAATATGGCATGGCTCAGCGAAAAACCAACTCACATGATGTTATGATAGCGAGTTACCAGATAGCATGATCGATCTGTAATATCTGTGGGGGAGGGGTGGGGAGGGATGGGAAGGGGAGGGGAATGGGGTGGAAAGTAAATTAGATGATGTAGGATTGAAAAGGAAATCAGAAATGTTAAACCCAATTGAAAAGATTAATAAAGCTGCCATTAACATTCAAAACATGGATTTAAGAACATATTGAAAAAGTTTCCTTTGATGATTAAAGAAATTGCGAACAGATTGATGGCATCTTTTATCGTTTCCTTCGTTTTTCGCACACCGCCCCTCCGCCTCCCCCTGAGAAGGGAATGGAGGACGTTTTCTCAATAAGCAAAAATAAACATGTTGTAATTGCAGAGCCTTGCTGTGCTTGGTACGGATTTTGTCACACATATATATAGCGTGACTCTCCCATTGGAAAGCCCATCTAGTGAAGGTAGTTTTCCATCAAAGATGTACGCTTTTGCAGCTTTTCTCGTTTTCGCGGTGGTCGTCAATGCACAGAGGCCAGAACCTTGTGGTAGGTATGACAATGTTAAGCTACTGTTCTTGCGTTTGAGTTCATGCATGCACGATTGGAGAGCAAAAGTTTTATTTTAGTTTGCCTTTGCGATTTCAGGTTTCTCAGGCTTTTCTTTGCAAGGCTTTCATTCAGCTTTTTACAAGCGTTTTTTTTTTTGAAAAGCTGTGATGACGCGTTTACTTATGCCATGTACACTGTTTTTCGCTGCAATAAAATCTAATATCTGTCGCCAGCGCAAATTTAAAATGGTAGTCTGTTTTTGGCAGTCTTTCTAGTCATGCGACTGCAAAGCATTATCTGTATTCAAATGCGAAATTCAGTCTATGGCATAATTTTGGTCTCTTTTTCTTTCACCTTTTTGTTTTTGCTACCGGTTGATATTTTCACCAAAACCCGTAATGACCCAGTATACATAAAATACTTGTCTTGTACAAGAAACTTGAGGCCTTGTGGTTCAAAAGGGGAAGGTTTGCAAGCAATCCGTGGTTGAGATACTGAGAGGGGTGGTGAATATTTTAGATCGGCAGCCCGCCGGTTAAATTTGTAGAGGAGCCTTAAAGTTAAACTAAACCAAGTTTCGAGATTTAGATCTTTTTGTCATCCATGTATCACTCGTGAGGAAGCCAACGACTGTGTTTCGTGAAGAAAATATTTGTTCTAGCACGATGAATCGTCTATTTGTGCCACCATTCTCTTTTGTCATTTCAAACTGTTGATAGTTTTTTAAAAAACCATTTTATCAAAATACTGTTTTGTTTTTCAATGCAGAAGGACCAAAAGTATGGGAAGGAAAGCTTTTCCAGGTACTCCTCAGCACTCTTTGAGCCCGTTTGATAATATTAATACATCTTTTGCTGTTCATTAACAGAAAATGTGCATTCATTTGTGCCAACAGTTGTATCAATAACGTGTAATGTACTTTCATCAACACCACAAGTAACATCATTAGCGCGGATCAACTTTCAATAACGATATTTGAATATGCGTGTACATTCATAGGCATCAATAGACAATCAATAGCGCGTTCGTACATTCATATACCCGGAATGTATTTTCTTGTGCGCGAAATTAAACTTCAATAACATCAATTAACAAACAGTTGCATTTATGGACAATCATTTACCCAAAAGTGAAAATTCATTAGTGCTATTAGCATAATCATTGACAATCTATAACGCGTTTGGACAATCATGAGGGTCAACGTTATATTCTATAGATAATAATAATATAATAAGATAAATAAAACAATCATTTGCGGTGTTCTTTTTTAACACTTTAAAACATATAAATAACTCAGAAAACTGCCTCCAAGCATCCCGTTCCTGAACATTGTTGAACAAGCAATTAGCAGTCAAAGCCGACATCAGCAACAACGGATGAACGATCGGGCCGAGGCAAGATGACAAGGGATTCGGGATTGCTCTAGGTCACAGTTACTATTGGAAGGGTTCCAGAGAAGTGTGGCAACTATGTGGTTCAGACACATTTCTCTGGAACTCTTCCAATAGCAACTGTGACCTCAGTAGAGCAATCCCGATTCATATTCAACTATGCATTCATTTTAGGTCGACCACAGCAAGAACTTTAGCATTCTTGGCAAGTTGTCGTACGATGCCTCTAATGAACGAGTCCGCATCATTGAGGAAATTAATTTGTCTGGCGGAAAAAGATATTTTTACGACTTTATCATTCTTTACCGAGAGGTAGGTAACGCAAGACAACGTGACGTAACGCGGCAGCTGACAGAAAGCAAGCAAGAACGCAATGAAATGAAACCCGCAATGAAACCCGCAAGCAAGATCTCAGCGCAGCGTGACACTATAAGACTCTGAGACGTATGCATTGTAGAGTAGCAGAGCGCGCGCATGCTATTTCAATTATCAATCCGTCTATTTGATCCAATATTCTAGCTTCTTATTGCAAACTCACAAATTTAATTTGTGGAATAAACGCTGCATATAGCTGCTCATTACTTTCACTTGGTTTTGTACAGCAACGTTTGTACCGCGTCGAACTGAGCATCAATGGCACAGGTAAATGTGTTGTGTCGGAGTTCAAAGAATCCTTCAGACCAGCAGAAATCCCGAAGGATGCCAAATTTGCAACAGAGGCATACATTGGAGCAAGCTTACCAGAGGTTGGTGTGCTGGTTAACATCTTTTATGGAAAAGAAGAAAGAAAAGGAGTAACAGGTAAGGACTTGGCTAACTAACCATTGCTTCTCCTATTCCTATTTCTCGAACATCCTTTCGTTCTTATCTTTCTCTCAATTCAATCCTAACCCTTCTTTCCTTGATTTCTCTCTCGCTCTCTCTCTCTTTTTCTTTCTTTCTTTCTTCATTAGTTCCCTTCCAATGTTTTTAGTTGCTTGCTGCTTGCTCTCCTCCTGATTATTTTTTTTTATCATAATTTTTTTTTTAACAGTGGACTACGTGGCTACCGTGACAGCAGAGGGTTGTATACCAGTGAGCAGTGTTGTATACACTCAAAAGACAGGTGCAATTCATTCAAGGTAAGGTCAATGCAGTAGACGTGATTCCAAACCGAGATGCAAAATAAAGAGGAGTTTTTTTTGTATATATATAAGGAAATCTTCCTATAATTCTGTATTATTCGACTACACAAGACAGGCGTGGCTCTTCAGTGATGTGCTCAATGTGTGCTTATTAGAAAAACAGTTCACGAGCGCGCCATTATTTACATACGATCAAATACTAATATTCTTGACCTTTCAGTATCACCAATCCATGCATTTATATGAAAACGTACGAGAATAAAATAAACTTGAAGCACACCCCCTCCCCCCTTATAAGCCCATCGAAAAACTCCTTATGGACCGGAATTCTATACGGTATAAGATTTATTCGTATGATTTTTTCCTCCTAGCTTCTTCGATATAGTCTTGGGAATTGAAGATCCTGAACGCTTCGTGCCTCCAAGTAGCTGTGAACAAGTGGAGCATTCTGGAAGGATTCCCATGCACCTTTGAGTCATGCAGATAAACAAAATAGTCCTTGCGGAAGCCATACCGAGGACTCATACACATGGATTAACATTGAAGCAACTTTGATTTAATACTGATTGCAATAAGAACTTTAACTTTAAGAAAATTAACAATGATCGAATAAAGCTTGAAGAATTTCAAGAATATCTTGAACAAGGTTGTTTTAAGTTTTACCTTTTAAATAAGATCCAAGGGGTAAATTGCAACAGTGGGTAATGTGTATGCCATGCTGTTTTTCCTCACCCATCCCCATCCCCTCCCCCCTCCGCCCGCCCCCTTTCATAAAGGCACGATTTGTTCTAAACGCACTTTCTAGGGTTTTTAAATTTTCATTTGATTTTAAAATGACGTTAAGGTAACTTCGAAACGTCGACATGTTTCATTTAAAATTTTATCGCTGAATTTCGTATTAAAACTTTTACCAATTCAAATAAAGGTTCTGTTTAAAGTCTTGAGTTGACTTGGTTGTGTATTAATGAGCTATTGATGTCTTGAAGTCTTGAACACCCTAAAGAAAGAAACRACCAAATGGCTTGTTTTAGCCACCATGAATTAACAAAATACTTGTCATTAGTCTTTTTTGTTACATCATCAAACATGGCCACCATGTCTATTGTCATATCAACCAACATGGCCGCCATGTCTATTGTCATATCAACCAACATGGCCGCCATGTCTATTGTCATATCAACCAACATGGCCACCATGTCTATTGTCATGTCAATCAACATGGCCGCCATGTCTATTGTCATATCGACCAACATGGCCGCCATGTCTTTTGATATTTCAATCTATTTTTACGAAAAAGCAATAAAGCTAAAAATACAACATTCCATCATAAAGAAGACAAGAAATGTCCTACAACAGTTCTGGTATACAATCTTTGTCAATGCAGTTATTGGCATATAAAATGCATTTTGATTGTCAAACTGAGAAAAGACCATTCACACTTCCCTACCTGATAGTATCATGGCRGTCCTGAATTCTTCACGAAGCATCTCCAGTACTTTCAGCACACCTTCTTCTCCCTGACAACAAAACAAATGAGAAGCACAAACAAAGTTCATAAAAAGACAGCACAGCAAAACCAAAGACAATTCACCAACTGACCTGATAGGCAAGTCCCCATACCACAGGACGACCAATGAATACAGCACGTGCACCCAATGCTAATGCCTTTAGTACATCAGTACCAAGCCTTACTCCACCATCCATATACACTTCAATTTGTCCATTGACAGCTGATACAACTTCTGGTAGAGCATCAATCTGTCACAAACAGTAAAGTACACAGTTACAGCTCAATGCAGTCACAGCGGTAGTCGACATGGATCAAGGGGTTACCGACTCACCCCTGCCAAGACCCCATCCAACTGTCTTCCTCCATGATTAGACACGATAATGGCATCAGCACCGTGCTGGACAGCAAGCTTAGCATCTTCTGCTGTTAGAATGCCTTTTAATATTACTGGAAGCTTGGTGATGGACTTGATCCATTTTATGGTGTCCCATGAAATTGTTTTGTCAAAGATTGCTTCAACCTGCCAAATAGTTCTAATAAAAAGTAAGTAAATCAGTCACTTAATATACAAGTATATTACCTAAATAAGTAAAATAGAAGGATGCATGCATCCCTTGGTTGTTGTTTATTACACTCATTATACTCATTATATTTCCCTATAACTACAGAAATAAAGGAAAATGTCTTGTATAAAGAACATAAGGGATTCTATATACCGTGAACAATCAATTTATTCAAATACATACAATTTGTCTCCAAGATTTGCAACTTGAACACCAGGAGGAAGAGAGAAGCCTGATCTCCTAATACCAYGTCTTATTCCAAGAACTGTTGCATCAACTGTAAAAACTAAGGCTTTGAATCCTGTTTCTTCTGCTTTTTGGATTCTTGACTTCATTTGCTTTCTATCTTTTAAGATGTACAGATGAAACCATCGAAGACCACTTGGTGCTGCAAGTGCTATATCTTCGTTTCTGCTTGTGTTAATCATGCTAAGGATCATGCATGTCTTAGCACTAGCTGCCGCTGTTTGGTAAAAGATGCAAACATATATTCTCTAAATCACTCTAATTTCGATCTAATTGGTCATAAGGCTACCGATAGATCAAATTAGGATTTAGGAGTTTTATTTTTGTGAAAGGAGGAAAAGCCAGAGAACCCTGAGAAAAAACCCTGTAAGGGGCGAAATCAAAACAATGTTCCAAGATAGGGACCCGATTTTATGAATTAAGGTGGTGGGTAGCGGTACATACCCCCTCCCCCTCAGAGGCCTCTTCAAATGCTCGATACTGGGGGTCTGTAGTGGCAATTTCTATTCACAAATACGTTTTCTAGCATACATGCAGACACACAGTCCATTAATTTCTGTGATTTGGCACTATATGATTTGGCACTACTTGATTCAATATGCAAAGTTGATGATGGGTATTGACTCATTTACATGGTAATTATAAGGAATGAAGGAATATATATATATATATCAATTAAGTTATATAAATGTATGAAATTATGAAAAATGGATAAATGGTACTGGATGGATAGTTGGACAGGAGAATGGWTTGATAGATGAAGGGATCAATCCAAGAATCAATAAAAGAAAGGAAGAATGAAAGTATGGAATAAAAGGTGGATGGATGGATAGATGGGCAGATGAATGGATGGGCAGATGGATGGATGGGCAGATGGATGGATGGGCTGATGGATGGAAGGATGGATGGATGTGTAGATGGGTGGATAGAGGGATTGACAGTTAAACAATCACCTCTTATTCTTGGTTGTATTAATATTTTCCCATTTCTTTCCCATTTCTCTTGCAATTAAGATCTTTTGCATCCATATTCATGTACCTTCTCGTTTACAATTGTTAAACAAAGAAATGATACTCTAGGAAATGACACATGGTCTGAAATGGGAAAACATACCCAAGGTAAAGCAGTCTGTTGAAGGATGGTGAATGGATTGATGGACAAACRAACAAAAACTGATTTATTACACTTCAATATACACATCCCTCACCCTTTGCAATGGCTCGTTCGCTCTCTGGATGTGCAAGTATGGAGTACCCAGTTGGTGCAATGCATATTGGCATACTGACTGTCTGTCCCAGCAGAGTGGTAGACATGTCTACTTCTGATATCCCACGAAGCATTCTGGGCCTAAGTCTTAACCTGCATCAACACACCAAGAGAACAATAAAATGCTTTCTCCTTTATGGCTAGAATCCATGGAATTATACCTTTATGAGCGATGATAAGTAAGCTTAAACATTGCTCCATTGCTATATAATCACCTTCTGAAAGCATCAATATTGTCTTTCAAACTAACTTCTTCATCTGCTCCTCCTTCGTAGTAGTTCAATGACATCCTACATAGCTTCTTTTTACCTTCATGTTCAATATCTGCCAAGCAAACAGGCTTTGAATGTGTTAAATCGTTCTTAGACATTTTTTAAATCCCTATATAAGTTGCGAAAGAATGCAGCCGATTTCCAAAATAACAAAGGAACCCCATTTTAGAAAAAAATTATACCGTCAAAATAAATAATAAAAGAGATTGATTTTCTTTATTTATCTGGGTTTTAATCTAATATAAAAATTTTTTTTTTAATACATTCAATAAAAGATCGATTTTCTTGATTTTTAGCTTTGTTGATTATTTTCTTCCGAAGCGGGGTCCCTGTGGAGTTCCAATGTTTTTTCCACAGAAGATGCCAAATAAAATTGTATCACAAACTAGCAATTTGAATTTTCGTTTAAACATCTCGAAAAACAGCCATGTCTAAAGACTCTTCTCCTCGTCCAGAGCCTGTTTGCTTGGCAGACATCGAGGAAGAGGCGAAAAAGAATGTATCTGGGAAGATTTTGAGCTATTTTGAAGGAGGAGCAGACGAAGAACAGACGCTCAAAGACAACATTGATTCATTCAGAAGGTGAGTTCAGGGACATGTATGTTTAACTTTGAATATTTGCATGTAAAAAAGCTGCTTCAAGGACCGAAAGCACCCTAAAACTAAAAAAAGTGGGGTTCTTAGATTGAAAAATATAAGAGAATAGTATGCAAAAGTGAACTTTATAGAGTAGACTAGTATATTGCAAAAGCGAAAAGTGGAAGATTTGGATTTGAAATTATGAGAGAGTAGTATGCAAAAGCGAAAAATGGAGGATTTAGATTGAAAATAATGAGAGAGTAGTATGCAAAAGGGAAAAGTGGAGAATTGAGATTGGAAAATATATTATATTAGAATATATATTAATAATAAGTTTAATATTGTGTTCTTTCTATGGACCAAAAAAACATAGATGCAAGCCTCTATTGTGTCTATTGTCTATAGATAGGTCACAATAGGTGTCTATTAACTGTCTAGTGTCTATTTGTGTCTATTCTTGATGGAAGTGCCTTTAAGATTAGCACTCACACTTACATGCAAGCTACTTTGGATCGATCCGAGATCACTTCTCAAGGTCATCTAGTTTAAATAAGTCTCAAACAAATTTATTCGAAACATTCAGATTTGGCCAGTTTGTCTTTAGAATGATCTCAATTCGATCTAGATGTCTAGTGTGAACAGCCCCTTACATTGGGAATTTTATTGTGTGGCATGAGGCAGTCCTTCAGCTATTCACCATGAAGGGTCCTTATGGTTTGATATTATGTAAAACTTTGGATAAATGGCGATCTACAAAGAACTAATTTGTTTCATGCCCTAAACATTGCTTGCTATATCATGAAAGACCTGCAAACAACCTTATTTATAAATTAGGACACCCAAGACATATATTGTTGCTTATAATATTAGGGTAAACTATATTCAAAATTGAAGAACTCTTTGTTTCCTGACATGCCATTCACTATAAAGAGTACGACTGCATGATGAATACATTTTCTCATCCTTTTTTTAACATTTTCCTGTCCTTTCCCATACTTCCACACCCACTTCCCCCAAAATTCCTTGAGGTGTTGAAACAATTTAATAAGCAAATTCAAAAATTGATTGTCAAAGATCATGAAATATGACTTGCATATTGTGTGTATTGTATGAATGAAGATTACGACTGAGACCCAGAATGCTTTCTGGGATATCAGAAGTAGACATGTCTACCACTCTGCTGGGACAGAGGGTCAGCATGCCGATATGTGTTGCACCATCTGGGTATCAAAAGCTTGCACATGCAGATGGTGAACAAGCTACTGCAAAGGGTATGTTGTAGCATTTTCCCAGAGAAACCCATAATAGTAATCAAAGTGTATGGTATTGATGGTGTGACATAGTGTGACTTTGCATGGGTGTTGTGGTGTGGCTTAGTGTGACATTGCATGGTAGTTGTGGTGTGATATAGTGTGACATTGCATGGTAGTTGTGGTGTGGCATAGTGTGACATTGCATGGTAGTTGTGGTGTGGCATAGTGTGACATTGCATGGTAGTTGTGGTGTGACATAGTGTGACATTGCATGGTAGTTGTGGTGCGATTGTATGATTATAAACAGGATGTTATACTTATCTACCTCAACCCTTCAACTTGCAGCTGCAGCTAGTGCCATGACCTGCATGATCCTTAGTATGATATCCACCACCAAGATGGAAGATGTAACACTTGCTGCACCTGCTGGACTCAGATGGTTTCAGTTCTACATACTCAAAGATAGAGAACTTACCAAGGAACTAATTTGCCGAGCAGAGCAGGCAGGATACAAGGCTTTGGTCTTAACAGTCGATGCAACTGTTATTGCGAAACGGCGTTCTTTCTTAAAATCGGGAACTTACAATGATCCTGGGGTTGTAGCTGTTCATTTTAAATCTAAGGATGGGTATTGTACTTTTTTTTTTACAATTTTTTTATACATTTATGTCACTGTTATCATCACTTTATTTTACCATGCACTTTGTCCTTGGAAGCTCCTGATAGTTTCTGTWTGCTCTGCTAATGCACCATCTCTCATCGCTGTGGTCATGAGTTCTATTCTTAGACACGCTATCATATGAGTAGAGATGCTAGTTGTTTCTCAGCTGTACTTTGAGGATTTTCTTCAGATTCTCCAATTTTCGTCTCTGCAACTTAGATTTACTTCTGATATGACTTCTAACTGAAATTCCAAGTGTTGGTTTTCACAGCCGCCATGTTGGATGAATTTAGCAAAAGATTCGTCATTAGTCTCTTTTATGTCATCCAACATGGTTGCCATGTCTTTTTTTATTTTATTCTCGTGGGAATGATTGAAAACCAGCAATACTCTATTTTAACAGTTCCGTTCATTGACCACAAATAATAGTCAAGTCAAGGTTTGAGTTTCCGCGCATAGCAAAACTATAGTTTATCATGCGCGGAAACTCCAACATCGACTCAGTGGAGCTATTATTCGTGGTCACTGAATGGAGCTGTAAAATGGAGTGTTCCATCTGACGTGAAAAACTTAAACAYGAGACCTTCGCAATTAAGTCTTGCTCTTCGATAAACAATGAATTAGGGTTTTTTTTAGGTTGATAGTGCAGGTTTCCGTGAATATCAAAGCTTGTCGGATTTTGTGGTCCGGGGTAATCTTTTTGATGCAAAGAATGCCCTTCAGTTTAAGCAACACAGGGAGCCAACGACAACCCGACTTTGTGATGGCATTATTAATAAAAAAAAGTACAGAACGAGGCGAAAATTCCTGATAGGATCCAGTAGATCAAAGAGATAAACGAGGAAGTCATCAGTAGATAATTTGAAGTGCAGACCTCCCTTTCTCGGCAAGTAAAAAAGATATTTAAATGTTGCAGGAAAGTTTGGCCTGACAAACTGTGTGAAAAGGCCATTACATGGGACATGGTTGTATGGATCAAGTCCATCACCAAGCTTCCAGTAATATTAAAAGGCATTCTAACAGCAGAAGATGCTAAACTTGCTGTCCAGCATGGTGCTGATGCCATTATTGTGTCTAATCATGGAGGAAGACAGTTGGATGGAGTCTTGGCAGGGGTGAGTCGGTAACCCCTTGATCCATGTCAACTACCACTGTGCCTGTATTGAGATGTAATTGTGTACTTTACTGTTTGTGACAGATTGATGCTCTACCAGAAGTTGTGTCAGCTGTCAATGGACAAATTGAAGTGTATATGGATGGTGGAGTAAGGCTTGGTGCTGATGTACTGAAAGCATTAGCATTGGGTGCACGTGCTGTATTCGTTGGTCGTCCTGTGGTATGGGGACTTGCCTATCAGGTCAGTTGGTGAATTGTCTTTGGTTTTGCTGTGTTGTCTTTTAATGAACTTTGTTTGTGCTTCTCATTTGTTTTGTTGTCAGGGAGAAGAAGGTGTGCTGAAAGTACTGGAGATRCTTCGTGAAGAATTCAGGACCGCCATGATACTATCAGGTAAGCTTAGTAGATCTATTCTTAGTTCGACAATCAAGTTGCATTTATTTCTGGCTTGTCTTATGGGGCTTGTTTGATGATCTTTGATAATCTTAATGTTATTTCTTCATGTACCATGCATGACTGTCGTGATACTGGTAGTGGTGTACAAAAACAAACAAATCAAAATATGGTTGAATTTTCTGTTACCTAAAAATCACTACGACATCTAAAACTGACACACATAATTGATGTATTGGTATTTCAAAAAAAAAAGCATTATATAAAATAACTGTTATAAATCTCGCGTTCTGATTGGTTGGGAGCGTGTGCTTTATGAGAATACACAGCACGCGCACACGTTAAGTAGCGTCATTCCTATCCAAAATGRCGGTTATTGTCATTTGTATTTTATGAAAGAAATAAAAAACTTCTTTGCTGTGCTGTGTGGAGTTATAAAGCACTTGGGGATTGGCAGAACACTACGTGTCGTGCTTCTCCTAACACGTCTCTCGTGCTTTTTTCTGAGGTAGATGCATTATATAATATCTAGCTAAGCGACGGAGCGTAGTGAATGCTTGAACCTTTGAAATGTAATATCAGAGGCGGAACGTGGCATGTGTTTTTTTAAAATCATTTTTTATTTTTTTTATTTAATATATTCAGGATGTTCCTGTCTGTCAGATGTTTCCCCATCTCTCGTGACTCGTCTTTGCAAGTGTAATTTGTAAATGCATGGGTTTGTAGCTAGTGATTACGAACTGTTATTGAGATGCAGGGGGTCAATACGCAAGCACCAACCGCTCGGGGAATTGTGAAGTGACCGCTAAATAGAGGTTAGCAGCTGCTTATGAAACATAAACTAATACAAAAATCCACTTTGGGACTTTGACAACTGGCCGCTAGATAGGGGGTAGCAGGTTCAACAGTACTTTCTAAACCTTTCTAACGGTTAAAGCGGGTAAGGTCGGTAACGACCTCGTGCATTCACGTCTAGAATTGTAGAGATGAATGTTATTGGAACAAGAACAAATGTTCTTCCATTTCACGTCAAGCACTACCACTGATATGAGCTTTTCTTTGAACTTCGGTTCAAGGCGGGAAATGGAAAGATGAAATACAAAAAAAAAAAACACGTACAAAACACGTTTAAATTAGGTTTATTAATTGCATCCTATTAAAATGATATTTTTCTATCATAGCATTTAACATGAAGGCCAAATTCAATTTCTAGTGCATGTCATTTCCCTATGCTTCATCGTTCGTCGCTCGCTTGCTGCAGCAGCCGATGTTTCTCGCTGCGGTACAAATGTATCTTGCATAGTCTTCCTGTAAAACAGATGGAAAAAATACAACTATATATAAGAGAAGTCCATAATCTTATAGAGATTAGGTTTCATATTGAAAGATAAAGTCCTGAGGATGTACAACAGCTAGGTTCGAGAATACATGGCTTCGACAAAATCTGAGAAGAAAGAGTGAAGCTGAACATAATGGAAAATGAAGTTCTTCCTATAGTTCGAACAATGACTGCACTTATTCGAATTATCATGATCGCCGCTCGATTCTAACTAACCGGCCAAGACTAGCTCTAAAATTCACCGTGTACTCTTCTCAAAGAAGATTGGCACATAAGCAATTTATTGCCTTTGAGAAAGATCATTACTGAAATATTGGATGAATATCTTTAAAAAATCATGCAATAACCTTTATTTTTCTATCGAACGCTGAAACTAACTCGCAGATCGAATTTGAAACATGCTATCATGTAGGTAAGCTTAGGTTTGTTTGCGAACTCAGTGAAGGAGGAAAACCAAATTACCCCGGAGAAAAACCCTTGGATCAAGGGAGAGAGAACTAACAAACCCTATCTCGCATGTGATGTCTAGAAATCGAAAATCTAACCCTATAGACCTCCAGAGGCGAGAGGCAAGTACATAAATGCAACGTCAGCCTTGATTTAAAACTCAAKCGTGTGTTTTACTGATCTATGACCACTTACTTGAAACTTGGCCGAATCACTTAGTTCCTTCACATCTCTCTTCTTTCCGTTTCCCGAAGGAATATATCCGAATGCTGCATCACTTTGGCTAGCCAGTGCCATGAAAACAACGAAACAGAAAACAAGAATGGCAGATTTGTTGTTCATTGTCGGTCTAGCAGCTTCACCACTCGTAGAAAAATTAAAGATTGACGGAACTTGGTGTGTGTGAAAAACCTCTCTACAGAGTGGCCTTAAATACTTTTTTGTCGGTTTTTTTAGAGCGCTCGATTAATTCTACTCACCATTGGTCAAGAGGGATAACTCTCTAATTCCCTGCTTCCATATTGCGGGCTTAAGTTGATTTACTACTTTGTTTAAAGAAAAAAAGACTTTCTTCTTGCTTTTTTTTTTGCTTTGTACTCCTTTCCATTTTTTCTTCCTGTGTTTTTTGCCTTCATTTTTCGTCAACAGTGCTTGATCTTTTGGTTTTGAACAGGTAAATTCACATATATGGAAAGCGAGGCTTAAGGTGAACCAATCAAGAGTCACTTAGCAGTTTTGGTCCTTAATCTCAAACGGTAGGAAGACTTATCTTTTTGTTTCAAGGGACAGTTGTGCGTAAAGAGTCGAGTCTTTGAAGCACTGAATTGGATTAGAAAAACACCAGGACAACACTATCGTCGTTTTACTCTTTTAGCAAAACCAGTGAACGAAAGCCGAGAAAAACTAAACTGTCACAGGGTTCTTCATCAAAATCTGATCCGTTTAGTCTTGGAGTTGGTTTTATTATAACGGCAAAAAAGGTTGCTATGTTACAACGACGGTTTGCCAAGCTCCGTATCTTTCTGATTTCCCCCTTTCCAGCAATTATAGATAAAAATCTCAAGTTGTGCTTCATGCTCTCTAATTAAGCTGTTTATCAAAGTTAACTAAGGTCTCAATTCAGTCTTGAAGTTTGGAAATTTCATAATCGCACTAAGTTTGTTAATACATAAAGACTATGAGCCGAGATAACACGTAGGACATTGAGTACAGAATAGGGTTGCCGGCTCAGAACACGTATYAAAGATTTAAGAATAGAAAAATTGAGAAAGGAGTATCCCTCTTATTTCGTTACGTTATCACGCTTCCTTCCAGCTCTATCCCACTCATCAGCTTTTCATTATCCACTCTTGTTGAAGCTGAGTCAGACAAGAATATCTCTCTATATACTTTGAGTGCCTTAAATTATTCGAATTATCATACTAAAGAGATAAGGTATCACAGTGGACTGTATACGTAAAGTGGATTTTGTGTGTCGATTATTACCTGATTGAGCTATTTGGGAATCGTGCCGACCTTCAAAATAGGGCACAACTATTAACTAAAAACTTATTTCAAATTTGAAATTTGAAATGTTTTGAAATAAAAAACTTCGTCTTGAATGGGGTATGTTTGAATCATTTTGACGAAATAAAACTAATGAATTGCTTGCTTTACAGCCATTCTCAATTACACGCACCCTCTAGCGATTGTTTCTGTCGCGACGAAGAAGGTTTTGGTGGACGTCAATCACAAGGTGTTTCCATAACATTGTCGGAAAAAACCAAGCTAAAAGGGAACGTGACTACAGAGTGTCATGGAAACGCCTTGATTGACATCCACAAAAGCTTCTTCGTCGCGACAGAAACAATCGCTAGAGTGGCGCGTGTGATTTAGAATGGCTGTAAATGTGACTTTCTAAATACTTTTTCCTTCTTCTTTTGATCGTGTGYTATTTCCTCGGAAAAAAACATTCCTTTTCTTGCTGTTAAAGGCCAGTCTACACGCTGCGATTTGTCTGCGCGACTTTTCGCCAGAATGTATCATCCGATTCGTTTCCGTTTTACTGGAGCCCGATTAAAAAATCGGGCCGTTAGAAAATCTGCGAAAGTGCTAAATACTTTGGGGATCGGGCCGATTCAATTTTTTTGGAATCGGGCTTCAGTCTGTCTCTAAAACTACCGCAGATTTGCCTCTCGATTTTGTCGAGCCGACAAATTGGACCAACAAATCGCAATGCACTCCCCGCTTAATTTTCTTATTGCCTGAGTTTACAGATGTTTTCCTTTGGTTTCCTCGCTAGCCAGTTTTCTCAAGCCCGCTTTATTTGTCGTTTTAATTCATCGTGATGTTTCTTAGTTTCCAAAAATAATTGATTTTAAGTATGGAAGATTTTTGGGGGAAAATCATAAAAACTAATACGGATTCCATGATCAACGAGGGAGGAACAAGACTAGCTTCTCTTACTTTAGATGCTGTTTGTGATGGGGAAAATAATAGCTGGAATTAAAACGGAACTATACAGAAAGCGGATATATTTGGTTTGAGTTACCAGAATGGCCCATTATCAATCTTTATAAATACGATTTTTTGATAAGGAAGTAAACGAGCCAAGAAAGAAATTTTTATCGCTATTTTTTAATGCTTCTTTTTACTCAGAATACAATCTGATAATACTTAACTAAAAACCTTTCCGTTTTACTCAGTAACCCTGAAACAACCTCTGGGCTGATCTAAATCAGGGCACGGCTAACTCACAGATTGAACCCTGAAACAACCTCTGGGCTGATCTAAGTCAGGGCATGGCTAACTCACAGATAGATCCCTGAAACAACCTCTGGGCTGATCTAAGTCAGGACACGGCTAACTCACAGATAGATCCCTGAAACAACCTCTGGGCTGATCTAAGTCAGGGCACGGCTAACTCACAGGATAGAACCCTGAAACAACCTCTGGGCTGATGTAAGTCAGGGCACGGCTAGCTCACAGATAGATCCCTGAAACAACCTCTGATCTAAGTTAGGGCACGGCTAACTCACAGATTGAACCCTGAAACAACCTCTGAGCTGATCTAATTCAAGGCACGTCTAACTCGCAGATTTAACCTGTATTGAACAGGGCACGCCTTACTCACATTAAATCTAACCCTGAAACAACCTCTGCCACTGATCTAAGTTAGGCACAACTTTATCTGGCTCTAAAAAAATATCGTAATAATTACACCCCGGCATTCCTGTCCTGCCTCCTTCTGCTATTCCTTGTCCTTCTTGTCTTATCTTTCCTTCAAGACTCCGTCCATTTACACCTTCAGTTGGCTACTATTATGTTTTATCGTTTAGAGGGTCCTGAGGGCGGGCCCTGAWCCCATCGTTTCCCAGCACCACCCCCCTCCTTTTTGACCAAATCCCATAGTCTTAGCCTGTATGTTTTGCTCAAATCTCAATCGCATTTACGTTGAATCTTCTTCAACCCAAAAATCTCAGTTCATCTACCTGGGTTATGTGTGTCATTATCTCGAGTAGCCTAGAACTATATATACTACGTGCGTACCAACCAATAATCTACAGCAAGAGGTTCTTATTGA